AAGACTTGCTCTGATGAATACAAAAAGAAAAATAAAGTTATGGCAATGTGTGACTACTGTAAACTGCAGAAAATTATAAAGGAGACTGTGCGATTCTCAGGAGTTGATAAGCCATTCTGTAGTGAAGGTAAAGAAAAGAGTTCAATTTTATTCACATAGCATAGTATATAATATAAAATAATTCATGATGACTGGACAAATACATGATTAATTGTCAAATAATTTCTCTCTCTCTTTTTTTTTTTGGTACCCGGGATCGATCTCAGGTCCTTGTGCTTGCGGGGCCGGTGGCAGAACCACTGAACTAAATCCCTGGCCCAATAATTTTTCTCTTATGAGGTCTAATTTGAGCATTTGTATGTTGGGTTTATACTTTAGTTTTAAGTCTGTCTTTTTTCTGGGCATGGTGGTGCACATCTGTAATTGTAGCTTCTTGGGAAGCTGAAACAGGAGGATTCCAAGTTTGAGAGTCTTAATGAGACTCTGTCTCAAAATAAAAAAATAAAAAGGGCTACATATGTAGTTCAGTGTGAAGGCTCTGGGTTCAATCCCCAGTAACCCTCCCTGCCATATCTTTTTAGTTTTATTTTTTTAGTGCTGAAGATTGAACCAAAGTCTTCGCACGTGCTAGGCAAGCGCCCTAACATCGACCTACATCCCCACCCCTGACGTCTTTCTTTTTATATGTTGCAATAATCTCAGTAAAGAAAAACTGTCAAAGTAGAATTAAATCAATGATACTAGCATAAAAATCTCATACATTTAGCTATAACATTAGAGATCTTTTTATTCTTGTACCTGTTTGTAGAGCAGGGAGTTAGGCTCCTTGGTTTAAGAAATGTTTATGCCTATGATGTTTGTGAAACAGGTGCTCTATATTTAGAGTATATTTAAAAGGTGATTTTATTTAAAAAGTTTGTTCTGTGAATATAGAGACTATTCTTTAATCTAGAGGCAAGTAATTATGTCATATATTTAGAAATTAAAGTTTATATCCACATTTGTTTAAAGTTTGTGTCTAAGACCATAGAAAATCAATTTATCTCCTTGAAGTTAATGTGAGTTTCATGTTTCTTCATTTCATCCCTTTTTGTGCTCAGTTTGCAAATTCCTCTCTGCTCGAGACTTTGGAGAACGATGGGGAAACTACTGTAAGATGTGTAGTTATTGTTCACAGACATCCCCAAACTTGGTAGAAAATCGATTGGAGGGAAAATTAGAAGAGTTTTGTTGTGAAGAGTGCATGTCCAAATTTACAGTCCTTTTTTATCAGGTAAATGTGATACAGTGATTTGTTTTATGAAGTTAGTACAAACTATTTTCTGTATGTTCAAATTATGTGAAGAAAAATGTAGCATTTGGAGCTGAGTAAAGTAAATTATGAGCCATTAGTACAAAATTTGATTGAATATACAGACAAAATCTTTGGAGAAAAAGTTAAGGATTTCTGGAGACTATGTTGATTGAGGTTATGTATCTTTTATTTATTAAATTTGTATATTTTGGGCACATTGTAGCAATTCAATAAGTTATATAGTGTGTGTTATCAAACTAGCTGTCAGTCATTTTCTTTTATTTTTTTTAATGTTTTATTGGTACATTGTAGGTATACAACACATTTACATTTCTCATTGGGAATTTGTATCTTTACATGATGCATCTTGGTTCTTATTTTTTTCCCCATTCCTAGCCCTCCCTTCACCCCCTCCACCCTTCCCTATTTATGAAGACTTTGTTTCCATTTTTTCCATTTCTCATAATTTTTCCTTTCCCTTCTTTCCTTTTCCCTGCCCCTCCCACTTCCCCTACCCCTTTGGACCTTTTTCTATTTCAGATTATCAGTTTTTCATTGATTACATCGGTACATTTTAGGAATACAATATGTCAGTCATTTTCATATGTTAGGAATTTCATACTCTTCTGTGCCTTTTATTTTCACTTTCTTATAAGGCACATTGACCTTGTTTGAAAATTTGAATTCTTTTAGGTTAGAACTTTACATAATGTTGCCTTAGGTGGCTCTCTCATTCAGGTTACACAGAGAAATTTGGAGTCAGACCTTGTTCTCACTTCATAGGTTAAAGGACAATAACTGACAACTTTACCAACTTACTTTAAAAAAAATTACCTTTCTGAAAGGCTGACGGTGATAACCACTATTTTCATTAATACATGTCAGGTGTTCCATTACTATTGTTTCATTTAATCCTTACCACAGTCCCAAGAGGTAGGTGTGTTATTGCCAGTGTGTAAAAAGGAAAAGGTGTGAAGTCCAGAGAGGTTAAATGCCCTCAACGAAGCTGGTAGATGACAACTAGATAGCATACTAGTCAAGTGACTACCTCTTTGCCTCATCCCCAAAATGTAATTTTCTTGGGGAGGAAGATTATCTCTTTTTCATCATTATATGAGCAGGACCAATCACAGTGCTTCAGACAGAGAATGTCTAATTAGATATTTGTTGACTTAATCAGTCTTTATGACTTCACAGCCCCATATTTCTTCTGTAGTATGCTGCTTCTTAATCTTTTAAAATAGAGCCTGTCTTTAGATTCCTTCATCAGTAATTTTTAAAACAGAACTTTTATAGTAATTCTGCCAGTTTAGGACATAAAACTATATAAAATAAATAATTAAACATTGATTGATTGATTGATTGATTGGTACTGGGGATGGAACTCAGGACCTTGGGCTTGTGAGGCAGGCACGGTGCCACGCAGCTAAATCCCTGGCCCCTAAACATTTATTTTAGCTAAAGTATTTTAAGGTATGAACCTTACATTTTGTAATTGTAACTGGCTCATCATATAGTATCTGGTTTTCATGGTGTCTCTGATTTATTATTAAAGTTATCTATTCATTGTTTTATAATTTTGTGTTTCTTCTCATGCCTTCTTTCTCAGATGGCCAAGTGTGATGGTTGTAATCGTCAGGGTAAGCTAAGTGAGTCCATAAAATGGCGAGGCAATATCAAACATTTCTGTAACCTATTTTGTGTCTTGAAGTTTTGTCATCAACAAAGTATGAATGATCTTCTTT